CCTGTATACCCGAGCTTCGAATAAAGTTAACAAAGTTGGTAATCGTTCCTAAGTAGGTCAATTTTATTTAAAGTTAATTAGTAAAATTCCATCCGTTCGTTATTTTAAAATCATGAGTGTCACTATCATAGCATGAGTACCTGTAGATAAGTAAAAGAGCCAAGACACGCACAGGTGCGAATTGCGGCTAATAAAGTTAAGGACGGGTAAATCGGGAACGTGAAAGTAAGTCGGTATTAGTTAATAGAAACTATTTGCAATTCTAAAATAACAGGGATGTGTGATCTTGTTGCGGGAATAGGGGGATACGTACGGATACATGCTCAGGTGCGGAATACAGTTATTAAAGTTAGGAGTAGGTAAATCGTAAATGTGAGTCAATTTTCGTTAGTTGGGGATATTTGCAATTCTAAAGGCACGTTATACTTCCATGCGCAATACGCGCGTCTATAGCCGTGTATATCGATACGTAACCATGTAATTCTGAGTAACCGTGTGACTAGTGGCCTATGCATCTAGGTCTTCCGATGATGCGCGACCAACCATGTTAATGCAAGCTAGAAGAAAACTCAGCGATCCAATTAACACTAAAGTAGATCCGTCCGTACATACACGGGCGACGATTAGATTCGAATCAAAATCGATTAATCCGTTTATCGGTATCACTCTCACCTCTAGCCCCAACCATCGACACAAGCGAAATGCTTTGTAGAGCGTGAGAACTCGAATGATCATTACGACACGGTCGGCCATATATTCCCTTTTTAACGCTCGTTTTCTTGCATCCGTTGGATCGTGACGAAAAGGCGTGGCCGTTTGCCATTAGATTTTTAATTAGCTAAAAGTGTGGTCGCATGCAACGAGCGCACAGGAACCAGAAACCAACCCTTCCCGCCATTGTCTTCATCCATCAGAATCAAGAATCGACCTTTCGTTCCTTGGGAAACGTTGATGTAAAACGTTCTCCAAACGTGGGAAGAATATCCCATTAAAGGAGCTTAAATGTTTCTTATTTAAATATATTTTAACCTTATCTAAAAGGTATAAAAAGAGGCGCCTTCCTAGGATACCCTAATGGGTGCCGAATTTTTCTTATCGTAACCTAAAGTATCCCGAAAAAATATTTTTTTTCCTTCTTAAAAATGAAGAAGTAACAAAAAGGGGGCGAAACACGTCCGGAGGATTTATCTCCCCGATAATTGGGTAACGATAGTCGGTCGATTTCTGCATTATGTAAAGCTCAAAAGCCACGGAGGCCTTTTAGGATTCACTGGTACGACGTCGCGGTTCCGCATGAAAAACTCCGTCGAAGGACCCGAAGAGGCCGATCAATCTCAATAGCGTCCTTCGACGAAGATCGAACGGATCGATCAGGGGATCCTTTCTACGGAGCTTGCACGAGGTCGTTTACTATCGACACGAGCCAACGCCGGGCGACTCCAAAAGTAACTGACAAAAGGTGTGATTCCTCAAAGACGTCCAAAAGCGTCTACCAGATCTCGACGTATCATGGCCACGAGTCAAGTTCATCTGGTATCGTAAATGTAATCGTGTAATGTAATCCTACCCAGGACAGTAAATCCCTTAATCTACATATTGCTCAGTACAGTAAAACTGCGTCCATAATAACGGTCTAATATTCAGCCTTCCATATTTTTTAGATAGTTCCCGCCTTGAAGGTGATATTAAAGGGTTATTGTTTGAAAACCTTCATTAGGACCTCCACAATCACGTGTTAAATTTTCAAATTATTCCGTTTATCCAGTTTAGATAAAAGTTTTATAAATATTTCGACTTTTCAGTATATGTATATATGACACTTTCATAACATCTTAATCAATCGCTTCCCGGCGACCATCCCTAAATCGAGAATTCGTGCGCCAGAATTGACGATGAACATTACAATAAAAAATAATTTGTGAAGATAAAAATTTGTAAAGTGGGAATTGCCTGCAGTTCTTCCCCTTTTTAGATTAATGCCGAATATGAATGCTTTATATTATTTCTGTAGGGAAGGAATTCAGCCGCGCAAATTGTTCGGCGGGAAGTTCTCGGGAGCGATCCTCACCTGGCGGTCCATGGGAGGACTTTGTTGCCCTCGAAACTGATGCTCCTGAGTTCGTACTTGGACCTGTGGCGAAGAGGTGAGCCGGGAGCGGCGTTGCCGAAAAGTAGTCCCTTGACACTCTTCGCGCCGGAGCTCTGCCCGGTGGTGCTTCGCCTGACGAAGCTCATCTCGAGCCGGTGCACGTGAACTCGGTTTCGCGCGTCCTGTTCTCCCGTTCCTCACTGGCCGATCGTCTCCGCCCTCGGTCGTGCTCGGCCTCCCTCGCCGGTCTTCGGACGTCTTCGGCACTCCTCGCCGATCCCCAGTGCGCGTGGTGCGGTGCGGCCTTCGAAGCTCCTCGGAGATCGGCGGTCCTCGGCGATCTTCGGAAGTCTTCGGAGTTCTCGATGCCTCTTAGCGCACTCCGCCGATCCTCAGGGCACGCGGCGCGCCCTTCGGAGATCTTCGGTGATCTTCGGGTCTCTTCGCCTCGCCGCTTTCTAAGCGCGAAGTGGAGACGTCCCGCGCTCCTCAGACGCGAGGCAGTCTTTATGGAGCGCTCCTCAGGCGTCTCGAGCCTCCGACTCCTGAGCGTCACCTGGCGGGTGTATTTGTAGGTTAGGACGCTTCGCGTCTATTGGATGAGTTTAATCGTCCCACTCCTTACCTTTGACTTCTATAGACTTTTAATGAGATTTGATAGACTCGATGAGACTGTTTTGAAGAAACTCTTAGTAACATTTTTTTTATACTGTTTCTAACTGGGGCTTCGGTTTCTGTACTGACCCAGTATGCGCGGTTTAACGTATAGGTAAAAGATACTCTGGCATCCTTCCGCGGTTTTTAACCTCGCTCGATAATTCTTCGTGAACTCGGAGTACGTCGCCAAAGGCGAAGCTCCTCACCCCCCTGTGGTTTCACCGCACTTTGGAAACTCGAAATTTTAGACTTGATGGAATTGCAGAAAACTTTTCACATTCGCGTTCTCCAGAATTTCTCAGTTTTGACATTTTTATACGTCACTTCCGACTTGAACGATCTTCGGTGTTACTCGGCACCATTTTCCACGCTTGAACCGGTAGCTTCGCGAGTCCGCTCGGGGATCCCTTAGGTACAATTGCAAATTCTCAGAGCTCCTCTTAGTACTTCTTAACACTTCCCAGTGCTAATGCGAACCGAGTCTTCCGCATCCCCGACGTGGTTTTTGTCTAAGTTCTTATCATGGCGCGTCGTTCCACGTAAAGTTCATCTCAGTCTATAACAAAAGTTTTCAGATTTCGTTCCAAGAAACTCTCAGCATAATTAAGCCTACTCGACGCACTCAAATTCACAGACTTCTAAATTTGCCATCAATGGAAACCGCAGTTTTCGAATGTCTTGTGGCGTTTCTCTCAATCCTTAGCGCCATTTTCAGGTTTCGCTTAAAAAAAAAAAAACTCTCAGCGTTCCTCAGCCTGCTCAACGTCTCCAAATTCACAGGCTTCTAAATGTAGCCCTAATGCAAACTACGGTTTCAGAACCTCTTGCGGCATTCCTCTCAATTCTCAGAGTCGTTTTTAGGTTTCGCTCCAAGAAACTCTCAGCACTCCCCGGACTGTTGAATGCATTCAAACTCACGGGCTTCTAAGTTCGGCGGAGGCGCCTCGGGGCTCTATAAGGTGCTGGTCGCTCCCCAGGGAGCGGTCGGCGACATCCTCTCCTTGGCCGGGGCCCGGGGGGTCTCGAGTTAACATCGCGTCGGTCCGAAGGCGTCTCGGGCGTCGCGACGCCAACTCCTCGCCGCAGGTGGTCGTCGGTCGGACCACGACGAAGAGTTACGAGCTCGTTGACGCCGAGCTTGGGTACTACTCCAGGAGTGGATGCAGGTGTGTACCTATAGGGGCATAACTGGCTTGAACCTTTCAACCCCACCATCCGAGAGGAGAGCCGCCCTGTGGATCGTCGTGTATATCATCACCCCGTGTATCACCCCGTGTGCACGCCTGGCCGCTTAACGCCACCGTTTTACCCCGTTTTACCCCGTTTACCCCGTTTACCCCGGTTACCTTGGACCGACGCAAGCGCTCCACTTATTGTCAGTCTGGATGCCGACCAGGACTGGACACTCGTCTCTCGACAAAAACCGAGCTGGCTTTCAACATCAACAGGAAACGCCTCGTCGCAAGAAGAGTCCCGGAGGAGTTTCGGCTATTGTCTTGAGAGTCTCCAGAATTTCTACACAAGAAACCCATTTTCGACGGAACGGTGAAATCTTGTATTTGCCATCTCGCTATCGCGGAGTCTGTTACCTAACGATGTTATTTTACATTTATAGAGAGAATATCCGAATTGCAGAGCGTTCGAGTGAAGGGCTGTTATAATGAGAGTGGAGATAACGGACACTGGATAGGGAAGCTGGAATAATAGAAAAATTCTCATCGTGAGGTCACTGATTAAACTTCATAACGCCTATTCACGGTTTCAACATTCCTCGAGGGATTCGTGTTAAAACTTTTCATCGTAGCGTGTGTCGGTAAGATAATTGAAGATTTTTTAGTCCGTATAGATATTCATTTAGTAGTGGACAATATTCTTTTCGAGATAATTACGTATTTAAATGAAACAGCCTGGAAGGCAGCAAGAAGTGATCAACTATGCCCAACAATACCCTGTTAATTAATACGTGGTTCGATTCCTAAGAGTAAAGATCTGAACTTTTACAAATTTGTCCATGAACTTATGGAACAACCCAACAGTGGCGAAATCAAATAATAGGGATTGAAACAATGGACGAAATAACTGAAAAATCCACACCATGCATTCACTGATTAAACATACATAACACCCATTCACGGGTCAAACATTCCCCCAGGGAATTCATGTTAAAATTCTCGACCATTATATTGTTAAAATAATTCATCGAAAAAAATCTGCGTTTCTCTCGGGACACTTTTTCCGAAGTTACTTGCACCCGTTTAGTAGAAGCATCGTTACGTTTATTTAGAGTCGGTACACCAGTCGTTTTACAGCGATTAGGGTAGTTAACTGTCGATTAGAGATTTCTGTCAAGACCGAAGTCGTACCGCGGGCCGTGTGAATTCCGCTCGCAACGTGTCGGTATTTACAGTGTACAGAGCCCATACCGAGAGTATCGATCTTCAGGTGGATAACGGTACGGTAAAAAGGTTTAAAGTTTCCGCTGGCAAAACGCTCGCGCTGGAAGAATAAAATAAAAAGGGTAGAACAAAAAAATAAGAGGGGAGAGTAGGAGGGACCGGAGGAGTTACGTGGTGTGTATCGTAAACGACTCCACTTTTTACGTCGTAAATGCTTACGTAAATGCGCGAACGTAGCCACGTAGGTTACGGCAGTGCCTGCAGTGCTTCGAAACACTTTTTGATTGTCTCTACTTGATTTTTAGGTATTAAAAGTCATTATTCCAGGGGCTCCACTCGGGCTTACAGTGCAACCCCCGCGGTTCAAGCCGGGTTTGCGGATATGCTGCGCGACGATATTCTTATCACGATTATCAAATTTCCGCATTTTCGACCACTTGCTCTCTACCACTCTGTATACAGGTACCTACACGCACTTTCATTTTCACACCCGAATAACCGTAATTACACAAAATTACCGGCAATGTTCGCATAATCCAAGGATTTTTTCCTACGTCGTTGTATAAGTTACAACCGTTTGGGTTGTAAGTTAAAATCCCAAGGATTACCTTCCCCTGGTTGTTACATTTCAACGTACAATTAAATATAAATCATGCAAACGATGTTCCGTCCCAACAAACACAGCCCACTAAATGCGTAACCATAACGTTACGCAGGAACGTAAAGTATGTACACTCTTTTTTCTTTTTTGGAACCGCCACGGGCGTTCGTGAAACATATACCGTGTGTAAAAAGAAATATATATCGTAGTGATCGGCATTCGATACATAGCGTAGATACATTCCGAAGATACAGCACCGTTACAAAGAGTCCGTGCAGCGGGTTCGCCGCATTTCTGCATCTTCCACCTATGTAATACAGTTTTTTTTTTTTTTTCATATTACGGTCATCCATACGATACGTATGAAATTTACGTAAATATCTGTATTGAGTCAGTAACTAATATATACCTGTAAATATATATCTTTGACATATGTCTTTCACATAAACTACACCTTAAAATGCTTCGCCTACACAACTATGACGTATGTTCAGGATATCTAATCGCGACGCAAACGAGCCATGTCTAACAGACTTTCCCTTCCACGTTAGTAGAGTACCTACAACGTTTCTCTATTTCTAAAATCAACGACACGTAAACTACACGTAGACTAATTAACTGTGTTTGCTGGGAGAGAAGCTTAGACATCGACTCACATTTGTATAGTACGGTTGCAATTATTTCCTAGTTATTTAGACCCTGGATAGAGGTTTCGCGCTTTCTGAAGGTCCGAGACCAGCCCGTCGTCGCGCAGCATCCGTAGGAACGTACTTTCGTGCGGATAATGGTACGTCCGAGGGCGTTATCGAAGTCTTAAACCTATGGTATCGTGAAGCGTAGACCCAGCACCATATTTGACCTAAGTATGTATCGTCCTCATCGCCTCGTCCTCGTCGAGGATCCCGACGAGGGGTTCGACCTGGGTACGTGCACCTGGCGCCGGACTCTACAGTGCCACTCGGACTCGGCGGGCTCGAGAAGGCCGAGAAGAAAGACTTAGCAAGTAATCGCAAGTCCCAATAAACCCGAATCAGGGGAATACACGTTTAAACGTACTCTAAACATCCATTGCACATTCCAATATCCGCCTCTTCTACATTGAAATCAACGTTTCCGCAGGGTCTACGTTACATTTACGTCATTATTATGTGTAATGGTCGTAATTTAAACGTTCACCGTGATAAACGCTTATAAGTATGTATGTTCTCAAAATTACTGGAATAATCTTCATTCAAAAACGTTATAGTCCAAATGTAAACAAAATCACTCGTGATGTGTGGTCTGAAAATCCCATTTTGTAAACAAAATCATTCGTAGGGTGAAAACCGCTGCATTTCTCCCGCATTTGCGTGTACAAAACGTGTGCATTCCACTGTATTGCGATTCATGGAACAATAGCGAGCAGTCGCGGAGGCAGTGTTAGGATTAGAGGAAGGAACAGAGGCGAGTGGCCAGTGGAAAGTTTGGCGCGGTCGGGCCCGCCGAAAGGGAGTCGTCCGCGACGAGGCGTGTCTCCGGAGCAGCGTCTTCAGCCTCCAAGGAAAACGTCCTCAGACCTGGTTGCTAAAGGACCGGCACTCTTCTCGTGGGAGCCGGGGCGTTCAGATCTGCATCTCGGGCTCGGAGTCGTCGTGGAACCAGCTGGAGGAGCGTTGGCTCTCGGCGACGACGCTCTCGCGGCCGGCGAACCTGGCGGCCCTGGCGAAGGTCTCGGTGGACGAGGCGACGACGGACCGCCGGGCGACGCGCGGCGTCGTCTCCGCGGAGCTGGGCTCCTCGGTCGTCCAGGTCGGGAGGCCCCTGCCGGCGGGGACGCCCCAGTGCTCGGTGAACTCCGAGCCTGACCTGGCGAGACTCGGCTGGCTCAGCGATCTGGCCAGCGAATCCGCCTCGTAGGAGCTCACGCTGGTCAGGTCGTCCCGGTCGACCCGCGCGAAGTCGCGCACCGTCATCTCCGACATGGAGCGCAGGTCCGCCTCGCTGCCGCCCCGGGTCGTCGAGCTGAGTCTGCGGAACCGCGTCCCGGGCAGCAGACCGGCAGGTCGTCGTTCCTGCCCGATAGTCCTCATAGAGCTTCCACCGTCGCTCTCGTACTCGTACAGCGTCGGCAGCGACGACCGCCGCGACCTGGTGTCCCACTCCGCGGACGACTTTCCGCGCTGCTTGTAGCGTTGGCCGCTGCGGCCTGATTGCGACCCCGACCCGGCCGGCGGACTCAGGATGCGGATGATCACGTCCCACTTCGCGGGTGGGAAGAGATTCGCGTATCTGGACACGGAACATCTCTCGTTAAATAATTCACCCGACACAGATGTTACGTACTTTGGTAATATTGCCGTACACGTAAAGATATGTCGTTGCGATAAATCCCTGGAATCCGATCTGGACGGATTTAACCGATACGTTGATGACAAATGTACATTATAGATCTCGAGTTAATTGCACAAATTATAAATTTTATCACAACGTATCGTTACGAGTGTAGGCAAAACGGACCTATATATTTAATTATCTAAATATTAATTATATATAGAAATGTGCGATGATGCTATTATCTTCGCATTAATCATGGGTCCATTTGAACTTCGATTAAGAAACTTAGTAAAGTTCCGTGCCAAATACATGCATAAGCGCTTGCAGAGTGTATGGTTATAAACGACGTGAGAATTGAAGGTATGGAAGTAAATTTCCCTCTCAATTATACCTCGCGTCCTTGCGAATCAGTTCGTAGTCCTCCCGGACGACGGCCTCGGTAAGAAGAGTCCTAAGAGTGCTCTCCGTGGTGATGATCTCGCGCCACCTGGAGCGTTCGTCCTCGCTCAGCTCTGCAGCGTACCTGGGCTCGAGCACTCTGGCCAGGGCGAACCAGGGTGGACTCTGGGTCTCGGTTTCTGGTCCAGCATCCCTGGGCCCGGGTCTGCAGGAGATCTCTACCCTGGGCGTGTACGTTGGCTCTATGCTGATGTCAGGCTCGACATGGTGATCGTTCGGCGTCAGGGGCATCGGTTCGTTCGTGATCGTCAGGTTGGAGGCGCTGCTGACGTCGGAGAAGTTCTCCCACTCAGGGGGCGGCAGGGGTACCTCTTCCGAAGGGTAGTTCCTGATGGTGACGTCCCACTTGGGGTCGGGTCTCGCCCGGTACTCGGTCACCTGACGACGGTGTCGCTCCACGTCCTCAATGGTCTTCTTTTCGGTGACGGTCCTCAGGAAGACGTCGTCGACCTCGTGGGTCGTGATCTCGGGTCTCCTGGGTCTGGCCACCACAGCTTCTACCAGGGGTTCCACCTGTTCTCGGTGCAGCTCCTCTCGGTAGTGCTCCGAGGAGGCCTGGTAGCTCTCCGAGGGCACGATGGGTGGCGGAGGTGGAGGAGTCGGCGCCAGGATGCTGGCCACCCTGTACTTCGCGTGGGTGGCGTCGGTCACCTCCGTGATCGACCTCGCCTCCATCATCTCCGTGCTCAACGAGGTCAGGGATCGAGGTCGACGCAGAATCGTCGCAGTGGGGGCTGGAGGTGGTGACGAAGGTGGTGATGGCGGTACAGGGCTCGTCGTCGTCTCTACGATCTCCTGATGGCGCTCGGCCTGCTTCCTGAGAATCCTGAAAACATAAAATTTATTAGTTTAAAACCCCAGGTCCGCAATATGCGATTATACAATAATACACCAATAAAAGATTTTTGGTACGAAATTAAATTCACGTTATTGAAATTTAAACGGATATAATACAAAATATGGGACAGAATAGTTTTTTTTTTAATTTTGACTTTGACCACTTTCATGATTATGAGCATCTTTATTCATTTCGGAGGCCATAGTCATCGTGTATCACACGATGAAGGAGGTAGCGCGGATCGGACGGACCTTTAATTAATACCTCGAACAATTCCCCGGCAACTGTGCATGTGTAAGTAGACCTTTAAGAGCTCAAGGTGGCTTTCTACCATCCGAGTTCACCGACATCTCTAGAGCCCGAAAGTAGTTCAAGGAACTGCTATAAACTCTGACACGAACGCATCCGAATCGCTCAGAGAATAGACATTTATCACGCTCTAAAACGGTGTCATTGGACTGACAAATACATTCGAGGAGGAACATTTGCCCAAAAAGAACGACTAAGAGTAACATTCCGGGTAGAGAGACCCATCCATCAGAAGGTCTCATGCTCTCATCAAACTCTACAAGTACTCGATCAATTCCAAGAATGAAATACCTGGAGTACACTGGAGGCGTCTGCTGCCTGGACACGGGGGAGCCCGCGGGAACGTGGATATCCGGGACGTAGGTGAAGGTGGTGACGCCTCTTCCCATGGGACTGTCAACGGATTCCCTGTAACACTCCTCCCTTTCGAGGATGGTGGTGAGGTTCCTCTCGAGGGCGACGCTAGCGTCGGATTCCGAAGGTAACGGGCTTGGAGGTGGTGGAGGTGCCCTCTTCACCCTCATCTGCACGTCGAATTTCGGCTCGATGGGCAAGGCGACCGGATGCCGAGGAACTCCGACCCTGGAGGCGTTGGCTGCGGTGATGGCGGTCGTTTCTGCATCCGCCACCGACTCGGAGTAAAGAGACCCGGACATGCGAGCTTCGACCTGTTGCTGATGATGTTGGATGAAGATCTTGTTGTCGTAAGAACCGGCCGAAGAGACCGGCAAGGACCGCTCTTCGTCTACCTCGGAGTGGCTCTCCGAGGGGTAATCACTGGGCAACGTGTCCGAATGATCCACCACCAGGTTCACCTCGCTACCGAAGGACGATGCTGCGCCATGCATCACTGCATGCGCCCTAGGGATCTTCAGGCCCTCGAACATGGAGATGTTCCCTAGGGAGGATCCGGAGAGTTTGGTGATTTCTGACCCCGTTCCACTGCCGAAAGGTTGACGATGGATGACTCGGATTGGCCGGCGTTTTAGGCACATGTAGGAACATCCTAGACCCAGCAACAGGAGCGACAGGAACAACAGGGCGCAGATGATCATCAGGATCTGGAAGCCCTTCAGGGCCGGCTCTGCTATCAATGGCGGCGCTGGCGTCGCCAAGCTGCGAGAAAGACATGATGAGCATCGGTTCATAATTCAGGAATCCTCAAATTTGGGTTTACTCCTTCAAACCATCACATCTTACTCTAACATCAGTTACATAATGTAACATCCTGCACCATGTGTTGAATCGGTTCGTAAATCCGCGGACAAATAATTTTGCAGCGAATATCAAGCCCAATCCGTAAATAAATGTGGCAAGAAGTGACCTACAGGGTCAGAGAATGCAATATCAATGAACATGAGGTTTCTTTTCTTGAATACAATTTTTTCAATCTTTCCAAATTTGTCCATGAAATTGTGGAATAACCCCATGCCCGCTTCCCTCTGGAATGTTTAGTACTAAACTGTTAGCAACGGTTGTTTCCGAAAATTCATCAGGAAACTCGACAGAGTTTCGCGCCAAATATGTACATAAGCGCATATAAGTGCAGAGCCTTATAGCACGGTCAAGGCGCGAAACACTCAACCATTAACGCTTAATCATTATCTGCGAAGTTCAGCCTGGCTAGATTGGGTAGAAAATATTCTCTCTTGGGTAGGTCGATTGAGATAATGATAGTTTCGACAGGGTATTCGAAATCGGAGTCCACTATCATAGCAGAAGAGCAGGATGTGCACTCACATGCTAGCCGGTGGGGCAGGTGGCGAAGGCGCAAACGGTGGTGGGTATCTGCAGACGATAGTGATGACCTCGTCGCCATCCATTTCCAGCCCAGGATGGAACCTCACGACGATGTTGTTCGTGAAGACACGCTGTGGGTCCTGCCTGGTGCCGCATCCTGCGTAGGAGAGAACATCCAGGTCGGGGAGGATGAGCAAGGTGTGCGGAATAGCTTTATAATGCTATTCAAGATGGCGGCGTTGTTGGGATTGCGAGATGCAGATTCCTCCTTACCTTTCAGGGGCAGCTCCAAGGTGGCGGTGTTCAGCCCACGTCCCTTCACCATGCAGGCGGTGTTCTTTTCGAGATCTGCGTAGGCGACCCCATAGAAGGGCTCCTCGAACTTCAGCTCGACCTCCATGCTACCCTGGCTGCAGTTCAGGAAGGCCTTGGTGCGGTTTAGGAAGATCATCGAAGAGATGTCGTCCAGCTTGGTGACATGACCATCCAGCACCGTGCTCGGCGGTAATCCTGGTTGATACTCGATGCTGTTCCCCTGGGAGGCATAGTTGCTTTGGCTGGCTGCTGGAGAGCAGCTCCACAGAAGAAGGACCAGAAGAGGCAGCATGGTCAGTCGGTTCCCGGGCGAAAGCGTTTAAGGGCATATGATGGCGCACCTCCTAACCGCTGAAAAAAAATAAATAAAACCCCTATTATTACTCAATCACCGACACTTTACATCGTGATATCTAGAATTTGAAAACGTGCAAAGAGGTACCGAGAAGCTACTCGACAGACGGTCACAGAAATGTGGAATATATCAACGACTGAAGTTGTAATTTAACAAATAAAAATGAATTTCTTCCACGTTGAATATTCCGTGTGATCGAGTATTACCTAATTTAACCCAGGTTATTCGCGAGTATTTCATTCCTCCAACGCCCTGTTAATACGACGTATGATACCCCCCGAGTTTCCATTTTTATACGTATAGCTGATTAACAATTAGCAGTCTTGGTACTCATGGAACGTCTTTCCGGTGAACCGCCGATTCGTGCCTCCTCGCATTCGGTCGTTTAATGATTCGTGGCGCGTCGTTAATTCCGCGTGTCCAATTACGATAAATTATTTCCTTCGGCCCGTTGTTGTTTTATCTTTATCTATATCCGACATGCGTATTTTCTACCGCTGCGTCGTTTATCGTGTACTTGGTAATTACCGAAATCGACGGAGCGATCGCGAGGCCGCTCGGGTGGAGTCGCGCCGATCTTGAGCTCCGGTCTCTTACGGGCCGATCAGAATCGGGCCGTGTCTCAACTTTCACTCTCGACAATTCCGTAGGACCCGATCGCCGACGGCACGCGTGAATACGGCACAAGGACGTCGAACGCGTGTCTTGGCATATCCGTTAATAAGGCGAGTCTCTTTGGCGAACGGCAGCCTTGCGGATATGCAGCCAACCAAAGCCCGAGCGCGACTTCTTCAGGAGGAACAAAAAGATAATTTCATGCCATTTCGAAAAAGTAATATAAATGATGTAATCGTAGGTTAAAAGTACAAAGCATTCCCAAGGTGCAATTACTTATACAATAATGTCAATGGAATAACATCTCTGATATTTTTTTTAGGGGTAAATAGGTTCGACGAACAGCAGGATATGGAGTCAATTTTGAGATCTCAAAACGCGACTTGTTCAGATGGAACGAAAAAATAATTTCATGCCATTTCAAAAAAGTAATATAAATGGTGTAATTACGGATTATAAGTAATAACAGACTTAAATATGAATAATATTCCTGTTTTCTTAAGGCGGTTTTAGTGAACGGCGGGACATCCAATTAACCACAGACAGTGAAAACAACTTCTTCAGGTCGGAGGAACAAAAAAGGGTTTTATGTCACTCTAAAAGATCGACGTAAATAATGCAGGAGGAGATTAGGTATATATAATACGAGATTTAAATGTGAATAACATTCTCGCCTTTTTAGGAATATTAAAGGTTTTGGTGAACGGCAGAGAACGCGATACGAGATTCCGCCTACTACTTCCTCAACCTGGGTAAATAAAAAATTATATGACGCATGCATAAATTCAGATTCTGTTGCTTTTTGCTGGAATGGGACTTTCTGGTGAAAGGTAGACCCGCGGAAATGCAGTTAACCCGGGATACTGCCCGGGTGATTAAAAACTATATCTGGCCCCGTATAAATTGCGTTCACGTTATTAGCCGAAGAAACTATGCATATACAACGAGCGTGATAAAACTTTTATGAAGCAGAATGCCGGAGACTTTAAAAAAATCCTGGACGGGTTTGAATGTGGCAAAAAAGAAAATACCACTGAAAATACGGTTTTCTACGGGATGATAAATGCACAAACGTCGGACCGCACTTCAAGGTGGTTCATCAAATTTTGAATCGCGCCAGGAGGCTTTAAAAAAAATTCTCAACGGATCTAAATATGGTAAAGAATAAGGTCCCATTGGAAATACTGTTTTCCACGAGATGATAAATTCACAAGCGTTGAATCGCATTTCAAGGTGGCTTATCACACGCTTTGAAACGCGCCAGGAGGTTCGAGCTCCAGCCAGGAATACAGTTATAAATCTCTGAAACATCTCTCGGGACCATCTCGGATTTAGTGGCGAAACAATTTCGGTCGATTTACCGCTACCCGAGTGGATCACCGAAACGCCGCTTGGGACTAATTACTGAACGCGCGATAATTGTCGGGATTAAAAGGAACGGCGTAACGAACCGCAATATGATATGCGCTTCTCGTGTCCGTCTTTCCGTTTCCTCGTTATAGATGCGTCCGCAGCATCCGACCATTGATGAACCGACCCCCAAATATCGATACTTCTACTCATTACTTGCATCGAGAAAAAAAAAAGTACCGATAGATAACAAAAACATCCTTGCCCCTACTCCAAGAAATTTATTGCTCCTAGAAAATAATATAGAAACTACGGATAGAATTAATGTTGTCCCGGTGGAAATAATCGTTTATCTCTTGTCGATATAAGAAAAATCTTTCGGGACAAGAATTCGACAGGCCAAATTGAAGTGTTGACGTTCGTTGTTGCAAGTAAAACATTCTCGTTATGGCTGTGGATGTTTTCTTTTTACACTGGTGTGTTGGTATAAACAGGTGCAAGGAGAATCGAAAGTGCGATGGATACCGGATATCGACAAAGCGGCGACGCCATGGTCGTCGTCGGAATTCCATGGACGTGGTGCGAGTCGACAAGGGCTGCGCTGCCGGGAAGTCGGGATACGTCCGGGAGTTTAGCTCCTCTTGCGTCTCCGTCGTCCAGGAGTAGCATGCTCCGGTGCACCGAGCACCGTTACCGGTTAGATACACCTCGGCTACCGTGCCGGACGGAACGATCGCTGCAGCTCTTCGTTTCCCCCGACGCGGAGGGCCCTCTTCTTGCGCACGCGGAAGAGGACTTTAACGACGTGCCTCGAATCGTCGCTAAACCCGATCCACACCTCCTAGGCACCCCGATCGATACCGTTTATCCGAGATTCGAGATCCGAGAGGCGATTTTCCCGGGGAATGCCAGGGCAGTCTCGTCACGCGGTCTTCTGGGAAACCGAGGACAAGAAACTCTAAACGACTCCCTTCGGAGCAGCTCTAAAGGTCGCAGCCCCTGCCTGAGATTACATCCTACTAGATAATATCATTCCCGAAATTCTACCAAGAGAGGATCCTTTCTTGTATTTTAACGCAATAGTTTCAGAGGCGCCTACGAGGGAAATCTTAGATTTTTAATACCCGAACTCACGTGGAAATTAGCTGGAGATCCCAAACAAGAATCAGTGGAAATCACTAAAAAGTTGCCAGAATTTTAAGGCCGACTGTCGCTTGTTATCGAATCGCATTGTTGTTCATCATATGAGATGAAAACCAATCGGTTTTCAGACAAGAAAATCGATTCCATTGATTTCCGAGTTAACAGCCCCTCAGGCGCCACTGTAATGACTTTTTCATGTGTGTTGGTCTCCTTACAAAGCCCCACTACAGTGAATTTTTCATGATTGGCGATTTCCATGAAACGTCCCTACAAAGGCTTCCCTCTGAACTCTGCTTTTTTTAAAAAGCGTCGGAGTACTGGCTCCCCTCTAAATTCAATTTTTCAAATCGCCAATATAAAAGTTTCTCTCTGAGCAGCGTTTTTCGATGGAACTCCGATATGATGACTTCTCTTTAAACAATTAATTTATAAAAAAAAAAGGCACTGTGGAGGTATTTGTTAACGTGCACCGAAAGTTAGTTAAATTTCCTCGATTTGCATTCCATGGCTATGGGGTTAATCCAAAATGTATTTTCAGAAAATACGGAATGTCGGCCGGTTCTGATAATGACCATCTTATATTCCTTGAAATAATGTGAATAACAACGAACCGCCGCGTTTGAATACCTGCGCGGTCCCGATACTTGTTCACATAATATCATGAATATTTATTCGAAACGATTAACCGGCCGGGAAAAAAGATGCGGCCGAAAATTTACCGACCGGTTGCATTCCCGGTGAGCAGCACCTGCCCTGCCGCATCCCGGCCAGATTAAGAGCCGCGCAATAAGTCTCTCGCGAGAGCGGTAAACCTCGGCGAAAATCATAAATTCGTCGGAATAAAAAGAGGACCGAGGTCGGCGATTCGCCCCGGCGAGTCCATCCCGGACCGAAATGGCGGATCTCATTCGCGAGGTGTAATCTCGCGGTGAACTTTATGCCTCCCGTCTATCCTCGTGTGCTGTTTCTGACATGTAGACTCGACCTTCGCGGCTTCCCGTCGAAAGTTCGGCGGTTCCGCAAAGTTCCAATTCTTACAAGATTTACCGGTCTAACTTGTATGAAATAGAATAACCATTTCGTTTCGAGATTTTTCAAGCTTCGGTTAGATTGAAACGCTTGCTGTTTCTGACACATGCTGCAATGCATCGTAAAATACGGCGTATTTTTTTATACAGGTAAATCGGTGAGTTTAAGGTGATGTGAAAGTGGCATCGAAGATGTTTTGTTTATAAAACTTTTCTCCCAACTCGATTTACCGAATAGCTTAAAACTTTACAACGTGAATAGGGCGACTATAAGGAAGGTCCTGAAGCTCATGAAATTTGAATTCTTTTCAAATTTGTTTATAGGTATTTTAAAAATAGTTTGTAAAAAATGAAATTTCGCGCGTTTTAGGACCTACCTTAGGGTCTCCATATTCATGTTTTAAAGTATGAAACGATTTGAGACACCCAGTTCGTAGAAAAGTTTTATGAACAATTGAGCTTTCGGATGCCGCTTTCACATCCCCTTAAGAGGTAAAAACCATCCTGAACTTTCGCCCTTAAAAATGGGTTCTTTCTTGCGAACGGAATATTTCTCAATCTCGTTCTGACGTTTGAACCCGACCTTCGTGACTTCCTGTCGAAGGTTCCCCAAAGTAATTCCACGATTTCCAGGTCTAACTTATATGAAATGGAATAGCCATTCCATTTCGAGATTTCCCAAGCTTCGATTCAATTGAAACGTTTCCGAGAACTTCTAGATTCTGCTGAGAAAAATCGACTCTAAGCTTCTTGGCGAACAAAATGATCGAAAGAATCGAGAATTTAAAAATTCAACTTTCAGCGAAAGTATCTCAGGAATTAGCACTTATAAAGGAATACTCATTTTCGTAGGTACTAAG